AGAGAGAGAGAGAGAGAGAGAGAGAGAGAGAGTAAGAGAGAGAGTCACAAAGTGCAACTACTATAATGGTATTGTACTTGGTACATTTGTTTAGTATTAAATGATCAATTATTTAGTACATTTAGTAAATATAAACTTAAAATTATGATAAGAAATTTTACAACTAATTACCTTAATATGGACATTCATATAGCAATAACTTTTATCATATTGAATACAATAAAAGCATATTGATGTTAAAAAATAATTTAATTAATTGAGTTCATAAAAATAAAATTAAAATAATTACTAGATTGAAATAAACATTATATTATAATACAAAATAAAAAATATTAAATTAAACTATAATTTTATATTAAATAAAAATATGATATACCGTAAAAATAAGTATAAAATAACTGTAGCATAGTATTTAAATAACTTTCCTCGTACCATTCTTTTATATAATAATATAGTTGTATAAAACTTAAAATTACTTATAGATTAATAATTATATAACAAATAACAGACATTGTTATCAAGTAATGTACACATTGAGAAATCAAGGGAATACACATTTTTTCAACCATGGCTAGGATTGGGATTGTTGACCAGGTTTATAAACATTACTTTAGATGTTTGCCTTTAAATATAATATTAAAATGTTATTAGTTATTAAAGATTTTATTTTTATGGTAAGCACTGGTAATCGGTGGCAATCGCACCGCAAACTCCTGACGCCATCCTTTCATTTCCGGATATTAGAAAACTTTGTGCCCGTAATTAACGGACAGCAAAATGTTATGATTGATATCATTGATAGCAAACTCAGTCAAAACAATGGTCTCATCGATGATATCAGACCAATAATAACCAATTGTGCCCTTGATACTATTTGTGGTAATTTATTAGCATTTATTATACTGTGTAAAAATTGATGCCATAAATGATTATTCATTAGAGACTGCAATGGGAATCGATATTAAGGCACAAACAGCTCTGGATTCACAATATGTTAATTCATTGCGAGACATATTAACACTATTTCTTATGCGATTCATCTCTCCGTGGCTTTGGCTCGAGTTTATATACCGATTGAGTCCTTCGGGCAAACAGTTTAAGAAAAACGTCAATGTTTTGCATGAATTCACGGAATCTGTAAATAATTGTAAACAAAAGTAACAAACGTTGTATTTTCTAATTATGTTTTAAACAAAAGGTAATCAAAGAGAGAAAGACTGAGTTTATGAGGAAAATGAATGAAAAGGGAAACAACTCTTTGGATGAAGTGATGGAAGAATTGGGATCAAAACGAAAGTTGGCTTTTCTCGACTCATTACTCGTCCATCACATCAGAAATCCCCGCGAATTTACGGAAAATGATATCCGGGAAGAAGTGGACACTTTCATGTTTGAAGGACACGACACCACCGCAGCCGCCCTTACGTTTGCACTAATGCTTATTGGACTCGACGATAGAGTACAGGTTTGTTAAATGAATATTAATTTTTAATTAAACCTCAAAAATATTTTAAATTAAAGGCAAAAATACACGAAGAAATGGACGCCATATTTCATGATGACATGTGTCGGGACATAACAACCGATGATTTGCGACAAATGCGGTATTTAGAGCAGTGTATTAAAGAGGCGCTCAGACTATACCCGTCCGTCTCATACATCGCTCGAGAAGCCAATGAAGACTTAACTATTGGAGAGCATGTGGTGCCAAAAGGGACGACATGTATGGTATTGTTTTATATGCTTCACAGGGATCCCAAAGTGTTTCCAAACCCCGAAGTGTATGACCCAAACCGGTTCGTGAGTGACGGCCCGGATGTGCAGAGCCGACACCCGTACGCATACGTGCCGTTCAGCGCCGGTCCTCGCAATTGCATCGGACAGAAGTTCGCTCTCCTCGAAGAGAAGGCACTGTTGGCCGCAATACTCCGTCGCTATCGCATCCGATGCCTAATAGCCCGACACGACCTGAAGCTAGACTACGCTCTGATACTTAAGCCCAGCTCTAAGATACCGATGAAATTCACAAAACGCTTTTAACGTTAGATTACATAATATCCTGTTTTTATTCGTATATTATTTACAAATATTTATAAATTTTATAGAAAGTAAATGTGATAAAATTTTTACATAACTAAACATTTTAATCATATTCAGAGCGACCTTCCTTTTTCCCTACAAATAACCTAGTTCATTTCAGGCAAACGACCGTTTGGTGCGCTTTGATTGAAAAGCATAATCGCAATTATTATATAAACATTTTAATCAATAAATGAAATTGATTATACATTTCTTATTAATATATTTGTATACTTCATAACTTCTTTTATGTTTTTTAATAAAATGTGTGTTTATTTTCAAAAAAAACTTATTTTATCATTTAATGTGAAATACCGTTTTGAAAATATACGTTACTAAATACATAAATGTTATAAACAATTTAACAAATTATTTACACCTTTAATAGCTTAAACAATGAATTAATGTAATTACAAGATGTTTTATGATAATTTTTACCAAGTTATTGTATATTTTATACATAACTTTACTACAAATGTTGCTTTGATTACTGTGTTTGCAATAATTATTGGATTATTGGCCATAAAATATATTCGATTTAGGAGCTATGTTAATAAGGTGGATAAATTACCAGGAGCACCATGCACCATGTTGGCGGGCACAATCATTGGCAACTTTGAATGGATCTGGAATCAGTCGATTAATAATAAAAGCCTAAATGACATTACCAGTAAATAATAATTTCATTTAATAATTTTTTAATAGTTATAATAGTATAATAGTTATTTATAATTAAAACTAAACATTATAAAGTATACAGGTATATATTCTAAATACTGTAGATATGGCATTTCAGACATTTATCGGAGCATTAATGTCCTTCCGGGATCGGGGCCATGGCTTGTATCGGATATGGGCGGGACCTAAGGACACTTTGGTCATTTTGTACCGGGCTGATACTGTCGAGGTAATTGTAAAACTTATATTTATATAAGATATATTAATTAAATAAAATTATTATTTACTTATATGTTAACATTATATAATATTAAAGCCGTTATTGTCGAGCAATACATTGATTGATAAGTCCTGGGAGTATAGATTTTTCAGACCTTGGCTTGGGTTGGGACTATTGACCAGGTTAGCATATTATAAAAATTTTACAACTAATTATAAATATTTACTCAAAATTTACTAAATATTCATACATAAAGCACTGGTAATCGGTGGCGATCGCACCGTAAACTCCTGACGCCATCCTTTCATTTCCGAATATTAGAAAACTTTGTGCCCGTAATTAACGGACAGCAAAATGTTATGATTGATATCATTGATAGTAAAATCAGTCAAAACAATGGTCTCATCGATGATATTAGACCAATAATAACTAATTGTGCCCTTGATACTATTTGTGGTAATTTGCAGAAAACAATATTTAAATAGTTTACTTAAAAACTTAATTATAATTATAACTTTTAATTTAATAGAGACCGCAATGGGAGTGACAGTTAAGGCACAAACAGATCTGGACTCACAATATGTTAATTCAGTACAAGATTTGTTGATATTATGGTTAATGCGTTATATCTCTCCGTGGCTTTGGTCTGATTTTATATATGGATTGAGTTCTTCGGGCAAACAATTCATGAAAAACACTGCAGTTTTGCATGAATTCACAAATTCTGTAAATAATTGTTAATAAAACAAAAGACATATTTTCTAATTGTTTTTTATACAAAAGGTAATCAAAGAAAGAAAGACTGAGTTTATGAGGAAAATGAATGAAAAGGGAAACAACTCTTTAGATGAAGTGATGGAAGAATTGGGATCCAAACGAAAGTTGGCTTTTCTCGACTCATTACTCGTCCATCACATCAGAAACCCCCGCGAATTCACGGAAAGTGATATTCGGGAAGAAGTGGACACTTTCATGTTTGAAGGCCACGACACCACTGCAGCCGCCATACAGTTCTCACTTATACTCATTGGACTCGACAATAATGTTCAGGTAAGTTATGTTTATTGATGATTTTTAATTATATAATTAAAATTAATTATATTCTTTAAATTTAAGGTAAAAATACACGAAGAAATGGACGCCATATTTGGTGATGACATGTGTCGGGACATAACAACCGATGATTTGCGACAAATGCGGTATTTAGAGCAGTGTATTAAAGAGGCGCTCAGACTATACCCGTCGGTGCCATACATTGCACGAGAAAATCAACAGGACTTCAGTATTGGAGAGCATGTGATACCCAAAGGGAGTACATGTGTGCCCATGATTTATATGCTTCATAGAGACCCCAAAGTGTTTCCCAACCCCGAAGTGTATGACCCAAACCGGTTTGCAAGTGACGGCCCGGATGTGCAGTCGCGACACCCGTACGCATACGTGCCGTTCAGCGCCGGTCCTCGCAATTGCATCGGACAGAAGTTCGCTCTCCTCGAAGAGAAGGCACTGTTGGCCGCAATACTCCGTCGCTATCGCATCCGTTGTCTCATACATAGGGATCAACTCGTGTTAGACATCGCAGCCATATTGAAGCCACACTCAAAAATCCCGATGAGTTTTGTCAAACGATTTTGATTTATTAAAATTTTTTGTTAATTAAGTAAAAATTTAATGCAATTTAAAATACACTCATATTTGATTAAGGCATATAAATACACTATTAGGGATGAAATATAAATAGTGTAAATTACATTTAGAAATAAAAACAACTTGTACAATTAGAAAATATACGTACACTACAGATGCTGAACTTTGAGGCCATATTGAAGTCATACTCTGAGATTCCGATGAGTTTTATACAAAGATTTTAAATAACATTACTTTTGTTATGAATTAATTTTTATAAATTTGATATTTTCATTGTTAATTGGATTATATTTAGTAATAAAAATTAATAAAGTGATGTACATATTGCCAATTAAATTTAAATATTATACTATTATTAATAGTTTGTATAACTGAAATGTAATATTAAATATTTGTTGTTATTTAAATTCATTGTTTTAAATATTCACCTTATATTTTAATTGTCTATTTTTATCATTTTCTGTCATTCTTTCTATTTATATGAAAGCTATGATTATTTTCCAAATAAAACATATTTTAGCGCTTATTTATTTAGTTGTTACAAACAATTTTCAGAATTTTAATTAATCATTATAGCCATAACTAGATAGAAATACAAATCAATAATAATTTGAATAACGTTAATAAAATAAATTATATTAAAATGTTACATAAAATTTTATATGAAATAAGTGTTAACTTTAAACTAACTTTAATTATTTTCTTTATTTTGTTCGTAACAAGATTAACAATTGTTAATTTTATGAGATTTAAGCACTATGTCAACAGTGTTAATAAACTACCTGGCCCACAATGCACTATGATAGTGGGCAAATTACTTGGTAATCTAGAAATCATCTGGCACGCAGCTATTAAAATGAAAACTACAAACGAAATTTCCAGTAAATATCAATAGAATTTATAATAATTTTATAAATATAACAGAATTACGTTACAGTATTAACGTAAATAAAATTTATAACTTATTTAGTAATTATATTACATTTACACGTGAAAACACTCTAGGTATTTCTTTTCAAATAATTATGGGAATCTTAAAGACATACCGGGATAGAGGGGTTGGCCTATATAGACTATGGGTCGGGCCTACAGACGTTTTAATTGTTTTATTTCGGGCCGATACTGTCGAGGTAATTGTCATGTGCTAACATTAAGTATAATTAACTAACAAGTACATTATTTCTATCTATCACAACATTTTATACACATAATAGCATTTATTGTCAAGTAATAGTCTTATTGAAAAGTCATGGGAATATGGAATGTTGAAGCCATGGCTTGGTTTAGGACTATTAACCAGGTTTATAAATATTTATTATTACAATAATTTATTATTACTATATGACATTGTTCAATTATTTTACATTGTATGATATTTATATATAGTTCAGGTAATCGGTGGCGATCGCACCGTAAACTCCTGACGCCATCCTTTCATTTCCGGATATTAGAAAACTTTGTGCCCGTAATTAACGGACAGCAAAATGTTATGATTCGTATCATTGATAGCAAACTCAGTCAAAACAATGGTCTCATCGATGATATCAGACCAATAATAACCAATTTTGCCCTTGATACTATTTGTGGTAATTTTTATTATGATTAAATAATTTACAAAATAACGCAAATTAATATTTAATAGAGACGGCAATGGGAGTGACAATAAAAGCACAAACAGTTTTGGACTCACAATATGTTAATTCGTTGCAAAATTTATTGCAATTATTTTTTATGCGTTATATCTCTCCCTGGCTTTGGTCTGACTTTATATATGGATTGAGTTCTTCGGGCAAACAGTTTCAGAAAAACACCGCAATTTTGCACGAATTCACAAAATCTGTAAATAATTAATTTTTAAAGAAATTTTTTAACGAAAATGTAATCTAAAGGTAATCAAAGAGCGGAAGAATGAGATAATGAAGAAAATGAGTAAAAAGGGAAATAACTCTTTGAATGAAGTGATGGAAGAATTGGGATCAAAACGAAAGTTGGCTTTTCTCGACTCATTACTCGTCCATCACATCAGAAATCCCCGCGAATTCACGGAAAATGATATCCGGGAAGAAGTGGACACTTTCATGTTTGAGGGACACGACACCACCGCAGGGGCCATACAATTCTCACTCATACTCATTGGACTCGACGATAGTGTACAGGTATATAATAACATTTTAAAATAAACAATTCAATAGTTATTAATAATAATAACTTATTATAGATTAAAATTAACTGTAAGTATATTTAAGGCAAAAATACACAAAGAAATGGATGGCATATTTGGTGATGACATGTGTCGAGACATAACAACCGATGATTTGCGACAAATGCGGTATTTAGAGCAGTGTATTAAAGAGGCGCTCAGACTATACCCGTCGGTGCCATTAATTGCACGACAAAATGAACAGGACTTCAGTATCGGAGAGCATGTGATACCCAAAGGGAGTACATGTATGGTATTGTTTTATATGCTTCACAGGGATCCCAAAGTGTTTCCCAACCCCGAAGTGTATGACCCAAACCGGTTCGCGAGTGACGGCCCGGATGTGCAGTCGCGACACCCGTACGCATACGTGCCGTTCAGTGCCGGTCCTCGCAATTGCATCGGACAGAAGTTCGCTCTCCTCGAAGAGAAGGCACTGTTGGCCGCAATACTCCGTCGCTATCGCATCCTTTGTCTCATACATCGGGATCAGCTCGAGTTGGACATCGCAGCCGTATTGAAGCCTCGCTCTAAGATCCCGATGAGTTTCACGAAACGATTTTAAATTTACAAATTATGATTTAAAAAACATTCAAATATTTAATAATAATTAATTAAATCACAATTTAATTGTGCGTCAAATTGAAGACAAAAAATAGTTGTTATAAAAAGAGATTCATTTCACAAAACACTTCATCAATTAAACACAGACTCTGACGGACTGTATGTTATGGTTAGGCATAAATCAGGGACTCATTTGGCCAGTCGTGCTGTCCTGTCGTTTATACCCTGAATGCGGACATTATTACTGTCGGCCTTTTGGTTAATTGAGTCCAACTGCGAGTTCTGGGCGCCGATCTCGTGGCCCATATCGATGGCCATATTCCTCAGGTTCCCGATCAGTGTCGACACGTGACCCATATTCTCCTCCATCTCGTCCTCGCGGGCGTCGTTTGTCACGCGAAGTATGTATAGACCGGACTCGTCCTGACGGCCGCCGTTGTCCACACCGTCGTCGACCGACTCACGACTACTACTGCCGTTGGGCTGAGACGTGACAATCGGTCTCTTCTCGGCGGCGGTCGACGAGCGCCAAATCGCCCGCTTTTCCCTGAACTTCTTGGCCCGACCGCCAGCGCCCGCACCGCACGGACACAGACACAGTCCGCACCACTTCTCCATCTTCGTCAGCGTCCTCTCTGTCTGTCGCATGTCTTCATTCATGCCATCCATGTCTCGATCGATGCGATCCAATTGTTCGCCCTGTGTGTGGATCAGCTCCAGTGTCTTGACGCCCGTCTCCTCCGACTCGGCGCACAGCGATAGCATCCGTCGCGTCGACTCCAGTGTCTCGTCGCTCACCAAATGGGCCCTCATTTGCAACTCTTCCCACTCTGTCATCGGTTCCGACGGCTGCGACCGAAGTGGCGGCTCTTCCAGCGGCACATCCATTAGTCGACTGTCCATATCATCGCCAGCGGACACGTGTCCAGACATTTTGCCGTAGATTTAGGTTTTAGTTTTTGTACCACTTTTTCAAATGGCGTAAAGTTTTCACTTAAAACTCAAATTAAATCAAATATAATGAAAAATATGTGTATAGTTCACACAATTATGTTATTTGTTTGCAATTAAGTGTTTCACTAAAAATGCGTGTTTTTTGCGCCAATAAATCAATTGATAACACAATCAGTATTAATAGATAACGTACAGTATATGTGGTGAAAATGATGGTCATTTTAATATTTTACAAAAACGTACAGTTTATACACTTTTGGGCTAACGTTTAGGTTTATCTCATATTTTCAATGAGTGCGCAAAAGTTGACGGAGTTTTGCGTTGAAAGTGTGATAACAAGTATTGAGAAAATTACAAGTTTTAAAAAACTTATGGTAAATATTTATTCTCAAGTTTACAAATAATTTGCAAACATTACATTACAAACAACACTACAAATACAAAATAATTAAATAAATCAAGATTAAATACTGGTCATACACCAAGTAACCTACACCAAACCAAAACTACCATGCTTAACCCGCTTAACTAGTGTTACATTAACTTTTGAGCCCTCTCATTGGCATCTTGTATGCGCTCGGTATTAGACTGGGCCTTCAAATTGATCTTGTCAATTTGGACATTCTGGTTATCAATCTCACCCCCTATATCGATGGCCATATTCCTAAGATTGCCGATCATCTGATTGACCACGCCCATATTATCTTCCATCTCATTTTCGCGCGCGTCGCCGGTAATCCGTTTGACATACCCTGTGTTAACGCTGTCAACACTACCGCCGTGTTGTTTGCCGGGCTTATAATAAACGTCGCCTTTCATAGGCTGACCAGATACGACTGCGCCCATCTCGGTGGACAGTTGCCACGCGTTCGGGTCCTCTCTGAACTCCTTGTTGCGACCGCACGGACACAGACACACACCGCACCACTTTTCCATCTCGGTCAAATGCTTTTCCGTCTCGCGCATGTCGTCGTTGATCATGTCCATGTCCCGTTCGATCCTGTCCAGTTGTTCACCCTGCTCGTCCAGCGCCACGAGTGTACGTATACCGCAATCGTTGGACTCATCGCATAGGGTTAGCATACGTCGAGTCGACTCCAGCGTCTCGTCAGTGGTTTTATTGGCTTTCATCTGCAGGTCTTGGATCAGATCCATGTCCGCCGGCGACAAGTGTGCCATCGCTGCGCTTCTTCAGCCGATTCTTTCGCCTTTTTGTATGATTTTTATTAATTATTATTATTTATTGAGTTGATTACCAAGTTTTTTACTTATTATGCACTTATGTAATACCAATAATTGAAAGTTCGTTGGTTTATTATGTTAACTCCATAGGCTAGATTTAGCATTTTTAATTTATTTAGCAATATTTTCAATTAATGAGTTATTTAAACAATTATAAATAATTATTTATTTCTAACATATATTCAAATTGTTGTCACTATTTTCGTTGTCACTGTTATAATGTATAAAACAGATGTTGTATTGAGTAAATAGACAATAGTCTGTCATTGAAAATGTGCATGGTCTTATGATGGCTCGTTACAATTGTGATATTTACTAAAAATGTTTCATATGTTGTCTTGTTTATTATTGTCAAATTATGTTACATAATGTAACACAAAAATAACTGCTATATTTAAAATTGTTTAAACATTGTTAATTATATCTATTTTAAAGTAGTTGAAATATACCTACATTACATTACATTATAACAACATGTTTATTATAATTATGATTTTAACTTAATAATCAGTTTGATTACTTTACCTTGTTCTTATACATACATTATTTATGAAATTAAATATAAAATATTTTATTTTAGCCAGTATTTTGACTCTAGGTGCATTAAAACTTGTAACCGTTGATATTAATGATAGAGCATTCATATTAAAAACATTAATAAATTCTCTTAAAACATTTTTACATAACAGTAACAAAACAATTATTTTTTGTTACATTTTTTATTGACGTCAACCCAAATGCTAAACACTTGTTTAGTTTAATTACATTTTTAAAGCTTACATTATTATAATAAATTAGCTAGATTTTAGAAATATGTCATAGTTTACTCGGAATATTCTGTATTACTAAAACTAATATTACAAATGCAAAGTATAAAATAATATTAATGATTTTATTTAAAGGATCTTACTGGAAAATTATGCAACATTAATAAAAACTTAAGGTTATATTCATTAACCATGTCTATGTCTATGTATTGTATTAATAGATTAATTATTAAACAACTGAAATATTATCCCACA